TGTTTCCAGCCCAGCACAGGGGCATTGTTGATTTGTCTCACAGAAGAATGAGAGTGGAGCTGTTCTTTTAGTTTTCAAACTTCAGAGTTCAAAGTGTGTGTTTGCTTGTGCCAAACGTTTATGTGTAATGATTTTGGATTATTGTTTTCTATATTATTAAAGTTTTTATATCTTTTCTCATCATCTTTTTTCACACATTGCCTTGCTGTTCTTGACTTAGCTGATCAACTTTCTTGAGTTGTCTAAAATTATCATTCTTCAACTATAACTCAACAAAACTTATTCTCAGTGGGAAAGGAGAGGCATACTGTAATTAAGTTAATTCATTCCGTAGTTGGTGGGTTTGTGTTTGGGACACAATATACTTTGCCACAGATGGCACACTTGTCCTTGAAAAGTGTGTGCTTTTCAACCAAGAGTGAAAAACTGTAACAAAACATAAAACTAAAACAAATAAAATTCCACTTTTAGCAACAATCATCTAGAGAATTTGTATCCAATATTTATTCCAAGGTACATTTACAGTATGTTGCTTCACAGATGTTCATTTCAAAGTAGACGCATGGAATATCTTCAGAAAATAGATGATAGTGTCTTTTCTACGCCTCTCCATAAAAACAGGAAATGCCAGCAGGATGCAGGTGTACATATGTTTTCTCTCTCCCTCTTGCAAGATGCTTTTCCATATTATCATAACCTTCATTAGAGCACCATGCTGAACCACCATGTTTCTACAGTAGCTCAGAACAAACAAACTAAACACTGTCTCTAGATAGGGCATTTTGAGTTTTTCGTGCATTTCACAGCCACCCTAGTTTCAGTAATAAACATAGCAGTCCCATAGTAGAAAAATACTCAATTAAAAGTAGAAGCACTGCATTACAAATCGTGCTTAGAGTTGTGTCCCTTGTAATGATAAATCCACAGTTATCACCCAACTCTGCAGCTATGTGCAGCTTTTTGAGTCTCTTGTAGCTCATTGTTTCCTATATGTTTGAGCCAGACTGCTATCTATCTTCAGCTCTATTATAAGCAGCAACAGGCAGCCATATTCAGCAAAACAGCTCTGATAAACCAACTGCACATTACCCACCTTACCCTGTCTAGAGTTGGTGGATACCACAGCTAAGAGGCAAAGTATTGGACTATAATTTTTTAGGTGGCCAGAAACACGACTCCAAATGAATGTTAATGTTGCTTTGTGTCTGCTTGTTGTGTAAATGTTTTTGGTAACAAGTTAGCAACTTTAGCAACACCTTTATAAGTGCAGGCACATTGATGCTTCAGATACAAGTGAGACCAGTTTGAGTAAAACAACTTGAAGTTAAGGTTTATTTGTTTGCCCATTTGTGACCTCGGCATGGGATTTCCATAGCAGCATAATGTAGGCTACTGAAGGTCATGAATGGGGCTAAAACTACACAGCAGTTTAAAATATCAAGGCAAAAGTAATGTATGGGTTTGTGTTTTTATGAATATTAATTAATTAATATATGTCTTTTTGGGCTGAATATTACTGATACTGCACTCTGCTTTTGTCTTAGTTTGACTGTTATTATCAAGTGTTACTGTGTTTGTTTCCAACTATCCCAGTACTGTTGATATGTAGGTTGAAATCAACTTAAAGGTAGCTTCACTACACCAAATCACATTAGATTCACTAGAGTCAAGATTGAGCTGGCAGCTACTGAGATCTGCTGAGAACTAACTACCTTTTGCAGAATTTTCTCTCATCATGATTTAATTTAGCTGCCATACTATTTGATTATGTGGGATAACACACTGAATAAGTGTCAGTTCATCTGGATAGATATCTTTCATTCACAGACAACAACTAGGGGGAAAAAAATCAATAACTAAACTAAGCGCTAGTTTTAGCTAAATCTCTGGCCACACTGCACAGGTCTGCAGCACGTGTGTCATGGTACGTGCTGCTTTTTATTTTGGCGCCCATGTTAACTCGTTAAGGAATGTGTCCACAGGGGCGTTTCTGGATGAGAGGGGTTGTGCCACTTCCCAGCATTGGACACTTGTAGTTATATTGACCAACAAAAGGCTACACCTTCCTGCACCTGATTGGACAAACGCTTTCTGCTCCTGGATTTTAAACTACACCAACATGGCGACTCATTTGGATACATTTCTCTTATATTATGAAAATGGTTCACTGAAATGTGTTTCTGAAAATATTTTAAGCAGAAAATTAGCTATGCAGTTGCTGAATCTGTCTTCATTTTAGATCGACAACAGTTAGTTTAAAAGGTTTGCTTGGTCTGATTTGCATAAAGTAGCCTGGACCTCAACTTTATGCTAATGAGGAGCAGGCGACGGGACGCACCATCTCTTGATATTCATCATAGCACTACCAGAATGCATTGCACAGCTGCTCACATAGACAATGAATGGGAAGCGTGGAAACGAACCATTGGACACGAACCATCAGAGCAGCCACACTGCCAATGTGGCTGCAGCGATGCTTCACTAGAGAGTGGATGGATCCTTTTTTTTTTTACACGAGCCACCTTTAAAACAGTGAAAATGATCTGTTCATAGTCATATTGATATTATACCAGCAATATATAAACCTTTCATTACAGTTCAGTGTCTGTACCTGTAGAACAAACTGTGGATACTGCATTTGGTATGTTTATCTGTAATATTTTTTGCATAAAACGTAGTCAGATAAAGGTTATATGTAGTTACTGTGTTTTGCCTTTGTGATTCAAACTAGTTTGTTTTGAGCACACCTGTGCTGGCTGTGCATCTGGTCACTTGTTTCAATGTTTCTCTGTCCCCTGGTGACCAAAACTTGATTGATGCCGCTTTAACAGTGCCACAATAGAAAACTACTGCATTACAAGTAAAAGTTTATTATCAGTCATGTATTAAAAGTAGAAGAATTTTCCCTTTTTATAGTGTTAAATTATTGCTACATTTATGTATTAGTAGTATTTTAAAGGAAAAGTTCTCTGCTTTCTTGTGAAAGTTAGATAAGAAGATTGATGTCACTCTCATGTTTATATGTTAAATAGGAAGCTTTGTGTATTTCTCAGCAAGTGCAGTGACTTCATGGAGTCTTGCTGTCGTTGTGAGGTTAGCAGTTTCCCCTGTTTCCAATCTTTTTTGCTAAGTGGCTTCTGGTTGTTGTTTCATACCATTTACCATCCAACGAAGCAAGTGGGTCCAGGTGGGCCACTAATTTTAAATACTTTACATACTGTTGTGTATTTTGATTTCATTATCATAAATATAATCTTTACCTGAAAAATAACAACAGAGTAAAATGTTTCATATTTTCCTTTAAAATGTTGTGGAGTACTATAAAGTTATACCAAATTAAAATGTAAAAAAAAAAAAAACTTCCTGAAAATACTCAAATAAATGTACTTCCAGCCTCTGCTCTTGTTGCAGCAGAACACCAGTGATGTTGGAGTTTATACCCCATCATCTGGCCACGTCCCCCTGCTGATGTTGAGCCCTGCTGATGTTGAGCCCTGCCACTGATGCTGAACAGGTCTGGGTGGTACCACTGCACACACACACACACACACTCCCTGCAGAGAGGGTTCATACAGCCGTAATTATAGTCCTGCCACAGCTATAGGAAGTGGGGCGGCTGCTTGTGGGAACAGTGGAGAGACTCACAGCAGGCGGCAGGGAGCAGCACACTAAAGGGAGCTCAAAATCAACCAACCAAGGGCCACCACAGGGCCTAATTACAGAGTGAACATGACTAATGATGAAGCTGCGCAGTGGTGGTGCTGTGTCCGAAATGTTCAGCCCTCACGGCCGCATCAGCCTGACTCTCACTCCCAGGTGTAGAGCCGTAACTATAGTAGTGTGTCGCCGGTGTGCATGTAGACCTCCCACAATGCTCGCTGCTCAGAATTGACACTCAGAGAGTGATGCATAGCCTCTGTAGCAGGGACCTCATGCAGTTTCCTCGGTTGAGTGATTTGTGTGTGAACATATGTAGGCATTTTAGTTTGTAGCATATGTGTGATTTCCATATGTCATAAATTGAGGCAGAATTTATACCTTTGATGATTTGGAGAGAGTTTATTTGCCATTTCCTTGTGAGAGCAGGTTGCCTATTTGCCACTGCTACCTGTTGTGAATAGTTTCAGGGGAACGTGGGGAGCGATGTGGAGGGATTCTTAAAAAGCGTTTTGCAAGAGAGAAGCAATCGCTCTGTGCAGTGATCCTCTCCTTGGAGATTTCCTGGTAGTTGGTCTCTGTGACGGATGGGGAGAGTCACCCCCCCCACCTCCCTCTCTCTTTCTCTTCACACAGAATGTCCACAGAATATCCACAGCAGTTGAATTATTTGTTTGACAGGTTGAATTCCTCCACATTTCACCAGGCTGTTCAATCAGGTAAAAAGATGAAACAGAAACGATGCTCCCCTGGGAGAGCTCAGCCTCCCAGAGATTAATATACAGTAGGTGTAGGGAACAAACGTCACTTTTTATTGGCTATAGATAAACAAGGCTGTCTCGAACGGCAGAAGTTGGAGGAGCTGTCCAGATGCTGAAAAAGCATCAGGCAGCCTTTCAATTATAAATAAATGATGGTGGTTCTGGAGGAACTAATGTAATTTTAACACTAATTTTGTCGTTAATTTGAAGTCATTTTTCATCTTCCCTGCAGCTTTCCCAAACCAAAACAGAAAGATCACTTTAAGGAGATGTTTGAATCCAATCAAAATATTTCACCTATATTATATATATTATGTTCTTAAATTGGAGAAAGATAATACAGTTCAATGCAATTTTCTCGCCCCTCGATGCTTATTTATTTTCTCTTAGAGGCTCTTAAAACCAATTTGGAGCAGAATAACGATCCGTCCAGCCATAGATCAATAGCCTGCATCTGCAACGAGTGTCAGTCGCAGCCCAGCATGTAGGAGAATGCAGACAGGAGGGGTGGAGTTCACAGCTTTTACTTTTCAAACGCTGCTCTGCCAGAGGAGCTCATTCTTTGCCTGGAGAAGAGCGGAGTTGGCGCTGATGCGTCCTGGCATGTGATCCCACTTCAGTCAAATCAATCGTGTCGCCGCTGCAGCTTTCCTATTAAACTTTCCATGCTGTTGCCCGTCCAATGGACAGCACTTAGGAGGTTTGTCTGGACCGTATCCGCTGCTGCTCGCTCGCCCGCTGCGCTCCGGCTCTCCACCGTCGGCTCTCCAGGTTCGGAGGGACTCACGCGGCCCGGGGAGCTGGCCTGCGTCTCCTGCACACATGGAGGGAGACGTTATGGACAAGTTGGAGGCCACGGCCACGGTCTGTGACTTCGACCCCATCAGCGGGAGCATCCCGGCCACCAAAGTGGAGATCACCGTGTCCTGCAGGTGAGTCCGCTCCGGTGCTGATGCTGCTGTCTCTGCGTGAAGGCTTTGGGGAGCTGCGCGCGCTTTGGGTGCGTTTTGCTGTGAGAGGACAGGACACTGGGATGAGTAACGTGCAGTTTAACATTTTGATGCTGAAAATAAACAACAACATAAACGTCGCCGTGTGTCATTTCCTTATGAAAAACAACTACCTTAAACATTTTAAAGAATAAGAAAACTTTAAAAAAGGGTAAAATAACAAAGCTGAGTAGAGAAAATCCTCGCAGAGATCTTTGCTCTGCTGTAAAGACACACAGACAGCAGATGGCTTTAGACTATTTAAGCATATTCGAGACTTTCCGTTAGAATAGTACATTTAAAAACATCATACAGCACTTCATTATGACTCTAATGTCCAGTTACTTAAGTAGACAACTGTTGTAAATCTGACAGTCCTTAAACTTTAACGCTTTTGTTTGTTTGTTTGTTTGTCCCGTTTATTGTTAAGATTTACGCTTATCTCCAGCTCGTGTGTGTTTGTGTTTTGCGGGCGCGAAGTCGCGTGCCACAGGAGATATCGACCGTCGTGGAGTTTGTTGGCGTTTCTGTGAGGTTTCCCCTGAGGCACGGTGTCGTGTGAAGCCGTTTAAACGCTTGACATGCGCCGAGTTTGATACAGAAACGTGGGGGAAAAAACAATTAGAGCTAAATATTTTCACCCAGTGGCCTTTAAGTGTGTCCCTGGTCCCCCCCCCCCCAAATACCACGAATATGGCAAGTGCTTCGGCTGGATAGGGTGGGGCAGCTGGTGGCAGGTAGAGTCACTGTATACTGTATGCTGCTGCAACATACAGTGGCTCTATATGGTCGACGAGTACAGTTGCTACAGTTTGTGTAGTCAACGTTTTTCGTGGAAATTGGCTTTAATTTGTGTTTCCAGGGCCTCCTGGGCTCAGTGGGCTGTGCATCATTTTGCCATAAGACAGAGTTGAGCTCTTTGTAGCTCTTGGCTGCATCAGTGTTATATGCATGCAAATGATGTCTTCCTATGAGCACTGCTGTTGAAACTGATTCCATAGAGATTTCCTTTAATGTACATAAAGCCACAAGCCAGAGAATAACATCCTGCTGCCATTGCTTTCTTCACACCTCTCTCGTTTGCTTTCCTCCCCTGAAACCTCCATCCACTCAGTTATCTGGAGGGGAAACTGATTGATTGTTTTTTCTTGTTGCAAACTGCTGCTTTGTCATCCATTTTGAAATTCTGAAGTTGTTCCACAAACCCGCGTTGCTGTTGCCATTTAGGTGACCTTATAACCCATTTAGGATATTAATTAATTAGTCACATTTCAGGACAAATCTGTTAACCTTTATAGTGTTGGCATGTTGAGAGGATGGTGCAGCTATGAGGGGGTGGGGGGCTTTTTAAACAGCTTTAAGCCCTACATTACTTTACTGTAGGATTCCTGTATGACACTGTAGGACTGTAGGATGTGTTTATGTAACCAACATTATTGAATTGTGTGTATAAGAGTAGGTGTGTGTGGCATTAGGTTGTGTGCGATTACACTGTGTGTGTTTTCAATCATAGGGCATGTGTTGTGAGGAGCAGCTGGCCTCGTGTTGTTTCCCTCTTGATAGACACTTTTGTTTTTTTCCCCCAGACCTTTATACTTTAAGCGGAGATCTGTGTTGATGCCCCCGGGCTCTGTCGGTCTGCAGCTCCCTTGTCTGTCATTAATGTCTCTCCAAACAAAGATTTGCTCCAGGACACAGTTTGATAGAGAAGACAAAATAATTCCTGCCTTCACTGGCCCTTGAAACATTGTCTGTTTTAGATGCAAAGACTTTAGGTCCTGCTGTTCTTCTTTGTGACTTGTGGATATCGCTACAGTAGCTCATGTCTGACCTCTGAGGACTGCTTCAAAGATCACTAGACAGCTCAAAAGTTGGATACATATGAAATCAACAGCCATGCATCGAGCCACTTTTCTTCCACTTATCCGCGAGTGTGTATTTGGTCTTTCCAATAGAAACGGACTGAAACAATGGGTGTTATGTGGGTGAGAGACACAGGCTCCACAACTCTGTGTAATTGATTTAGTAAGCCTGAAAGCTCTGAGGTTGCAGCGCACATGGAATTGAATTGCTGCGTGCGGCCCTACAGGCATTCTCATAACCCTCTGCCAATATTGCAGCAAGCCCCCTGACAAACTGGAGTGACTGAAGCAGACACCCCCTTATCAAAACAAGTGCATATCGCTGTGATAGCACATTGTTCACCGTCTATGGTTCTGATTGGTTTTTGCTCACAGGTCAGCCAGTGAGCCGAGCCCAGAGCATCTGCTTCTTAGCTGCGAGGGCTACACTCCAACTCAGCAATAAGATGACTCTTCAAACTCAAGTGGTCTCTATCTGCGAACGCGTGCCAGTGAATACAGTTCAGTGGGTTAGGGCCTGTGGTCCTCTGGTGCTTTTACAGGCTCGATCCCACCTCTTACGTGGCAGTAATGAGTGTGTTCATTAGTTAATATTTAAGCAGCCCTGATGAATATTTCAGAAGTTGTCTGTGCAGTTTGCTACATCATGCTTTAATTATGAGCAAAGTAGTAAATGTGAATCCTGCTGGATTGTAAAATGTGCCCTTTCTATATCTCAGTTTACCAGACCGTCTCTGAGTTCCCATGTACAATGACTTAAGGGAAATTGGGGCTTCCAGTGTTCCACTGTGAAGAACATTTTTGGTAATGAATGTTGGAAAAAATGTGCACACACAAGAAATTCACAAAGCCCCTAAAGGCACATGGATCTTCATTTAATGAATAGACTTTTTTCTCCTGTGTTTCTCTTTGGTTTGTCACACTACAGATCCAAGTACTGGATCTAAGTTATGATTTGTAAATGCGCTGAATACTGTATGTGACCAGAATGAGGGAGCAGAGTTTATAAGCTTGAGAACCCTGACAAAGGTTTACAACCCTTATCAGAGCAGAGCAAGGGAAAAAGAATGTATTGCTCCTGAAAGATTACTTTTAGGCATCTTATTTGTTAGATAGTTGCCATCCAGAGGAGAATAAAGGGAAAGAAAAATACATTATAATCTGATGAAAAGCCCAGATTTGGACACTGTATCATCGCAAGAACATGACATACACTATAGTACAACAAAACCACCAAGCACAAGGATGTAGCTTGAATTTTTATTTGAAACAGAGGGCATATTATAGGAATTTATTAGTCCTTTGCAACGTGTCAAAACACACCACAGGTATGCTGTTAAAAGTGAAATCGGCTGACAAAGCCACCCTCGCTTCCACCGCGCTCAGCCTCCCACCTGACAGCTTGAACGTCGAACTTTATTAACCCCCATCGCCCATTTTCATCAAGACGAAGACGCTGCATCTTGTCCATCCCCTCCTGTTCTCTGCCGTTGCTTTGGTTGTTTGTTGTAACCATTCATTTGCTGTGATAGATTGGTTAGAGTAGCACTGGATCCAATCAATGCATTCCATGGCTGGGGGGATCTAACTCAACTGGGCCGCTCTGCTCCCAAGGGATTCATTACCTGGTGAAACACACAAGAGGTCACATGACTTCCAGCATCCCGTGACAAATGCTCACAGGAGAGGATCCCTGGCACACAAGGCCACTGATTGCCATTCCCCGGGGTCAATCTGAAAACTTGCGGCATGCTTCTTGATCTGAACTCTTCCTGAGGCAATCATTGCAGCAGAGGGGGGAGGCCTAATGAAATCATCAGGACGATTAGGATGTGTGGCATCGCTGCTCCATCTGTCAAAAACAATTGCTTGAGCAGAGCAATTGGGATTCAAGCCGCCTGTCTAACCACCTATTGTTTATTCGAATGCATTGTTATGGCCTGTAACTCTGCTGTTGTTTTAGTGTTAATAGCTGTTGTAGCTGTTGATCTCATTCAGTCTGGGTTACCCATTCAGTCGAACCCTCTGACCTGGTTTTCAGCTTGAAAGTTCCTTTTGTTTTGCCCCTGCAGAAAGCAAGTTTGAATTGAACTAGTTTGCATTGTTTAATCGCATAAAATATTAATACAAGATCTCTCTGAGTAAGAGAGAATTTTCAATTTGCAGTGTATTTACTGCGTCATTCTCTTCATATTGTGTTCTAGGTTAAGACTGACCTGGGGCGAGCTTGCAGCTTTTATCCTGCAGGATGGCTTGTGTGTGTGTGTGTGT